GGTCTCGCTCTTGCTCAGGCTGGTTTCAAACTCCTGAGCTCAAACAATCCGCCCACCTCGGCCTCCCAGAGAGCTAGGATTACAGGCGTGAGCCACCGCACCCGGCCTGTGGTAGTTTTTAAGTTGAGAAGTGTGAGTCCTCCAACTTTGTTCTTCTTCTTCAAGACTTTTGGCTATTTGGGTCTCTTGTATTTCCATACTAATTTTAGTATTAGATTGTCACTGTCTGCAAAAAATCAGCCAGCTGGGATTGTTATAGGGATTACATTGAATGTGTAGATCAATTTGGGTAGTATTGCCGTCTTAATAATATTAACCTTTTGATCCATGACAGAAAATGTGTTTCCATTTATTTAGATTATCTCTAATTTCTTGCAATGATGTTTTGTAGTTTTCAGTGTCTTTTGTTTCTGTTATTGAATTTATGCCTGTGTATTTTATTATTTTTGGTACTGTAAATGGAAGCTTTTGAAGTTTTATTTTGGAATGTTCATTGCTACTGTATAGAAATACAATTGATTTTTGTACATTGTTCTGTTATCTTGTCACCTTACTGAATTTGCTTATTAGTACTAATAGTTTTTTAGTGGATTGCTTGGGAATTTCCATACATAAAATCATGTCGTCTACAAATAGAAATACATCTTCCTTTTCCAATCTGGATGCCTTTTATTTCTTTTTCATACCTAATTGACCCACAAGAACCTCCAGTACAATATCAAATAGGAGTGGCAAGAATAAACATCATAGTCTTGTTCCTGATCTTAGGGGGAAATCACTCAGTCTTTCACCATGGTCCAGAGGATTTCGAACACCTTACTTCTAGTTTAATTGCCCCTTCCAACTGTGGAGCCTTGCACATGTCACTGTTGCAGTTCCCTAAACCAAAGAATGAGGAGGATGATTCAAAAGGGCCTTCCTTTCCAGTTCTTACATCCTGTACTTCTGTGATTCTACTTGGTATTCTTTCTCCTTAGCCAGTTCCCTTGGATGTTGGTTAGATCATCGTATGGATTCTATAAGGACATTTGGAAATATTTACAAGTTCTTTTTCCATATTTGTTTGGACTGCCTCTGATTTCCACAATTCTGAACAACCTAATGTAGATGGAAGTTGCAAAAATTGAAACATGCGAGCAGAGATGTTGTAATGGATCCGTATTTCCCTCCCTTTGAAACTCTGAATGGCCAGGAAAAAAGACTGGTTTGGGGACATTGCTCATTTCCACAAAAGGTCAGTGAACCATTCTTCTTCTCACTCTGCCCTCTGACAGTCAGTACCCTCTTTGTTTTCAGACTCTCAGCGTTCTCATCTCTCTTCCTTCACCATGAAGCTGATGGACAAATTCCACTCGCCTAAAATCAAGAGAACGCCGTCAAAGAAGGGAAAACCGGCTGAGGTGTCTGTGAAGATTCCAGAGAAGCCTGTGAACAAAGTAAGCTGACTCTCTCCAGGTGTTTCTCCTGGCCTCGCCTGCTTTGAGCAGTATAAGTTTGTGCTGGTTGTATGTTCACTCCCTGGGGATTGAGTTTTGAGTACATCACACCTATTCCGTAGTATTCCATGGTTCCAGGTGGGGCCTTCAGTGTCCTTGTGAAATAAGAGCCATTAGGATGGTGAGTGCTTGCCATGTTAATCAGAGTCAAGCTCAGTTGGCTAGAACAGTTCTTTTCCAGCTGTGTCATCCCCTGAGCATTTAAAACAGCTGAGCACGTTATGTTCACACCCCAGGATGCTGCCTCCCTGCCCCAGAGTTCCCCATATTGCCCTGGTGCACACTCGAACCAGGGAAGTTTGTGATGTCCAGAACGTCCATCATTCGGCTTTAGGGCCAGTGCTCTGAAACGTGCAAACCCCTTGAAACCCGGCAAAGATGTCCTCAAGTGCTAGTAACCTCAGCAGGGCCAGTCAAGCCAGATATGTTGGAACAGCTATTGATTTTCATCAACCCCTCCCTTCAGGCTAAAACGGCCATTTCAAGCTCTGTAGGAATCCAGGTTTCCTCTCTTCCAGGAGGCAACAGACAGATTTCTACCAGAGGGCTACCCTATCCCCTTGGATCTGGAGCAGCAGGCAGTAGAATTTATGTCCACCAGTGCTGTGGCTTCCAGGTCTCAAAGGCAGAAGGTCAGTGTGACATTAAGAACAATTGGGTTTGCCTTGCCTTCTACTGCAGAATCCTGGTCCATGGTTTTGGGGATGGAAAAAAATCTATTGCAATATCATTGTGTTCTCTTGGGGGGGGCAACTGTGGGCTGAATCGTTGAGGAAAAAAAAAAGAGTCCAAGGGGCCTTGGATAAAAGTGAGAGTTTATCCAAGCTCTCATGATCTTTGGAGAGAGCTCAGTGCTCTATGGCAAAAGCTTGGGGATTCTTTCTAGGGTTGGTCTGGGTGTGCTGCTTGGGTCCAACGGGTTCTGGGGGAAGTGGGTAAGTCTCTTCCCTCAAGACCAGCTGTTCTTTCCTTGAATTGCTAAGATGAGCTGAATAGTTAGAAGGGGAAAGGCTTCTAGAACCTTAGAGTGCTCCCTTAGATATCTTGCAAGGAGTGTGGTGAGACTGCCACGTAACCAAGTGCTCTCAGAGCCAGGGACACCTTCTGGGTCGCTAACATTTACTGAGCCTTTTCTTGGCCCCATGCTAAGTGCTTTACACGTGTTCTCTTATCTTCACAACAACCCTGACAGGTGATGAAAACCTACTTTGCTGAAAAGGAAACTGAATCTATAGAGAGATTGTAGCATTTAGCCAAAGTGAAAGGGTAAAAATGTGACGAAGTCGAGATTTGAACGCAGGCTGTCTGACGTCAAAGTCCGAATTCTTGAGATGCTACGTTTCCTCTTTATGAAAGAATTTATTTAATATCTCACACATCTAAATATTAATCCCAGCTCACTACTGTACATAAAACTAAACTTATCAATGTAAAATAAAAACAAGCCTCGTGGACAATAGATCCTTAGTCCTTTAGTGATGATCCGAAGCCTAACTCCCGTGCAGTAGAGCCGTTGTCACGTCTGTCAACATGATGCAGCTGGTAAACAGTACCTTGTTGTTTAAACACCTAATTCTCGAATGTTGCAATTTATCTGTTTTCGGATTTTATGTTGACCAGCAGAATCTCTTAAAATTCTAGTTAAAAGTAGATAAAATAAAGGTTTTAAATCCAAAAGTCTTTCATTGAAAAAGTTTTTCCCACCCCATCCATCTGTTAAGCACAGGAGGCCAAAGAGGAGGAGGCAGAGAGTCAGTGTTGGCCAGATGGAAGGAGAGTAATAAAGTAGAAGATTTGGTCAGTGCCACAATTTTGTGTTTTTAATTATTATGGTACATAATAGTTGTAGCACAATTATTTTTTATTACAATCTGTTTAGCAACCTCTTAGAGCTGAGTTTAATATTAAACTCCAAGGAGAGCATAAGTTGTCCTCTAACACAAGTCCAGGCGGTTCAGAATGAAGTGATTTACCAATAGCTTTGTTCTGCCAGTGAACTCTGATATGAAACTGTTCGGCCACTCACTTCTTGGATTTGTTTCCTTTTTATTCACTATTCCAGGAGAGGTCATGGAAGAAAGCATGATGCTAGAGTACATTGACTTGGTGGGGCACCTGCAAGGCCCAGCGGACACTTGGCGCTGTCTGGAGACAGTTTTGGTTGTCACAATGGGAGGGTGAAGCAGGTGCTACTGGCATCTAGTGGGTAGGGGCCCGGGGTGCAGGTAAACATCATACAACATACAGGACAGCTCCCCCAAAACAAAGAATTGTCTGCCCCAAAATGTCAGTATTGCTGAGGCTGAGAGAACTGTTACGTGGCAAGAAGCCGTAGGGGTGATCTTCTACCAAGGAGGAGTGTTGTCCCTTTTTTGGTAATTGCTCTTTTTTTTTTTTTGAGACAGAGTCTCACTGTGTTGCCCGGGCTAGAGTGCCATGGCGTCATCCTAGCTCACAGCAACCTCAAACTCCTGGGCTCAAGCGATCCTCTTGCCTCAGCCTCCCGAGTAGCTAGGACTACAGGCATGCGCTACCATGCCCGGCTAATTTTTTCTATATACTTTTAGTTGTCCAGATCATTTCTTTCTAATTTTTTAGTAGAGACGGGGTCTCGCTCTTGCTCAGGCTGGTTTCGAACTCCTGAGCTCAAACAATCCGCCCACCTCGGCCTCCCAGAGAGCTAGGATTACAGGCGTGAGTCACCGCACCCGGCCGGTAATTCCTCTTTAAGAAAGGTTGGATTACTGTGCCCTGCCCCAAGTCACCTGCGTGGGACAAAGTAGGTGTTGCTTAGTGGAGGCCCACAGACAACTGGAAATGTTGAGGAATCCGCCAGAGCGTGTGGACTCAGACGGTTATGTCAAGAAACCTTGCCGTAGATCCCGTCCTCATTTGTTGTTCATTCGCTGTCACTTAGGGAGCATTTATATACCTTCTCGTTCTATCCCAGGTTGTGTACGTGGCTTTCTCTTTTTAAACACATGGGAAATTGAAGCACAGGGAGGTAGATGTACAGATTCAGATTCATTGCCACTTACTGAGGGTCTCTCTTTGCGCAGGCCCTGTCCTGGGTGGTTTCATTTACTGTCTTATTTACTCCTCACCATAACTGTGCGGGAAAGCTTTTATTATTCCCACTGTGCAGACAGTGTTGGCTCTGGCTCAAGTTTTCTTAGCTGAAATCTGGTTTTCCCACTATGTTCCATTGTCTTTCCAGACTACTATTAGTAGTCTCTTACATCTTCTTAGTTGAATTTTAAAATTCAGAGTACACTCTGGTGAATTTATAAACTTTTTTGCAACTTTTAAACAAGGCTAGCAGTGAGCTGCAGAGTGTTAAAGTAGTGGAGACCATTTAGCCACATTCTGGGAGTCCCTGCATAATTACAGTTAGCGCAGTCCAACATGGCCTGGGAGGTGTGGGTCCTTCCTCCATGAGGGCATGTGGACAGAGGGTTAGATCCAGGGGCTTGCTGAGTAGACTCCTGAGAGCCTTTCCCTTTCTGCTTTCAACATCTTATGAAAATAAGCGGGGAGATGCTGCTGCCAGAGAGCGGGGTGGTGGGCGGTGATGGGGTGCCTGCTGTAACTGATCTCTGTGTTAAACACGTCTTGCTGGACCTCGCTGTTCTGGTCCAATGGAGAATAATAATGTTGTGTTGCCTTTTAAAAAATCCTGTGATTTAAGTTTTTTATTATACTGTTTGTGATTTGTTTTCCTCCTCACTTCCCCAGGCTTAGCCCAGATTTGTATGATTCACTGTCCTCCCGCTCGGGAATGAGACTTGAGTTGCTGTAGAGAAGACAGGCCCCAGGCTGAGACAAGGAAAAGAAAAGGCAGGTTGGGGTTGCCCTAGATGCTACTCTGCTCTTAGGAGAGAAGTGTCGGAAGATGGGGACCAGTTTTTCCTCATTTCTGTCTCCTGCAGAGCCAGTATAGTGGCATATAGCAGCAAAGCAGCAGCCCCAGTGTCCCAAATGAGCACAGCCCCATGGGCAGGAAAGCCGGTGGAAGCTTTCTGTCCATCTCTGCCATCTGGGCCTCATTTTACTGATTCATTGAATAGAGTTTTAGACCAGGGAATCTCTAGTAAATTATTTCACTTCTTACAGTAGATTTCAGATTGATCTTTTTTCTCCTCTCCATCTGCCCAGGCTCTGCAATCTAACAAAGTTCAAATTCCATTTCCTTTACTACAGCTGTGTGACCTTGGGCAGGTTGCTTAACCTCCCTGTTCCCCACCAAGCCTCAGTTTCCTCACCTGTGAAATAATAGTGTCTACTTTATATGGTGGTTGTAACCCTTAAATGAAACAATGTGTATAAAATACATAGCACAGTGGGTGACTAGAAGTCCTTGATGAGTGGTAGCAATCATCTGGTCTCTTTCTTTCCCTTTCAGAGTTGTACATCTTTTGTTCTCTTTCTTGGCCTTATTATTAGCAGATACACAGCCTCTGATGTTGGTGGAGCGTCTGTTAAGTTGATGCACCACTTGCATTTGCATCTCATCCAGTCCCCACATTTACCTCTTTGGCTACACAGGGCCAGTGTTACTCTTCCCGTTTGTGAATGACAGGCCCCATGTCCAGCGGCTGTGTCTAGGCCCTCCCCAGGCACAGAGAGTCTTGTTTAGTTTCCAGGCTTATGTGAACCAGTGGCGGCAACTCATCCCCCGCAGGAGGGCTGTGCAGGTAGATGCATCTGCCTCTCAGGTTATGCAGCCGGGCCATTTTAGCAAAGGCAAGGCATCGAGTCCCAAGTTCTGTCTGGTGCTGGGTATAGGTGTGTCATTGTAAACTCTTGACTGTGGGCCGCATTTTGCAAGAAGCCACAGTTTAACAGCTGAAGGGGTAGGGGAATGCACAATGTTCAGAGGGCATTGATTCTGGGAGTGGAATTTGAGGGTTAATGGATGCAACCTGACTCTGCTAAGTTGTTGGCTCCTTTATCAGGAGCCGAGGGCAGCCTGGCTCTTAAATAGCTGACTTGATCTCTCTGCAACAACAGGAAGATTCTCTTCTTGCTCTGAAGTGCCTTGCCCCTTTCCAATGCCTAGCAAACCTGATGACACATTTTCTTAAAATGTTTCCTCTTCCCTCGCCAAGTTTCATCATTTCTGGCTTCTGCCACTTTCTGATATGCTAAGATGGCAGTGTTATTGTCATAGTCCTCCTCTTGCCAGGCTGACTGTGGCTTTGGGCACATTTGATGTATGCACGCACCGCGATTCCTTCTTACTCAGGTTCTTCCTGCCAGTGGGCAGGGGATGGTGGAACAGAGAGCTTTCGTCCATGAGATGGAGAAACAAGCACCTGGCCTCTTGCAGAGAGGAAATAAACAAATGTGTCAGGTAGTGAAAAGAGAAACATAAAGCCAGGGCACAGGGATCCAGTTGTCCCCCTCTCCAGGGGATGAGGAAGGGGTGCTCTGGAGAACGTTTTGGGAAGTACCTGTTGAGAGAAATTGCACTGGGTCTTTGAAAGTTGTCTGACTGAAGTAGCTATTTACTTGTTAATCTCATTCATTTATATATTTTTCTTTTGATATTCTATGAAATAAAAGCCTCTACTATTGAATTAATTTAATTCAAAATAACATTCCCCATCATGTTAGAAGAAAAGAGCTAGTGTTCAGAATCACAGTCACTTTTCACTTTATTCCTATTATTTGTATATTTATAAATTATTATTTAAATCAGCTTTTTCTAGAAATTATTTGCTTACCCTCAATTGCTTACATTTTCTGGACTGAAAAGAGCCCACAGGTGGCAGTTTTTCTCGTAGTACCCCTCCCCCTTAATTTGCACGGGGCATGTCACCGGTCCCACCGGAGTCGGTATCCACTTAGCGTTTATCCGTTCTGTAGATTGCTCCTGATTTTGCTTGCCCTGCCAGCCAGCTGGGACCTGGCTCATGGACACCAGGACTAGTGCGGGGTGGGGAGGAACGAAAGCGGTGTGTATGCCACTGGCTGTGGACCCACGTCTCCTGCAGTCGAGGAGAAGAGTTGGGTGGTGCTTTGAATACTGGAAAGTGCAGGGCTCCGTATTTTCTTTTCCTCTTGGGTCGGCTTTCCTCAGGAGCAGAGGGACCCTGAGAGCTGTTAGCAGCCGGTGCATGAGTCATTGCCATCTGCTCTGACTTCTTCACCTCTTCACCCCAGAGCGTCCCCCTTTCTATCCCTGGGAGTTCCCAAGCCTGTTGGGCACAGCCTGTCATTTCATCGAGAGGGCTTCACTGGGCTGAACAAGGTGGGAGTCTAGTGAGGAGTCTCGAGGGAAGGGCTTTGAACCCTCGTGCCCCAGACCAGTCTTGCACGGTCCCTCAGATCTTTGGGAGAAAGGCCTGGGGTTTCTTGATTACAGGATTATATGTACCATGGGACTGGCCTACTGCTTATCCAGGTCATCAGCAAATTAGCCCTCACCACACTTGGTGAGGTTCGTGGTGGTAGCTCAGATGGTTACTAGGACAGAGAGGAGGAGAAGTGGTTTTCAAGACCTTGGGGTCTGGGATGAGAACTCAGGAATTACTAAATGACCTTTCTTGTCCCAGCCTCCTCCTCCCTTCAGTTCTAGCCTCTGTCTCCTGATTACAGTCCTTAGAAAAATAATCTGCTTGGTTTCTGCAACAAGAAACCTTTCCCATTCAGATCAATCTCAAGCTAGTTTAAAGAAAATTTTATTTATTTTTTTCAAAATAGCTCCCTTTAATCTCTCTCCTCCCTCCTTATGCTTAACGTTTCCTTTCAGAACCTGAGCTGGCTGGAAGAGAAAGAAAAGGAAGTTGTCAGTGCCTTGCGATACTTTAAAACCATTGTGGACAAAATGGCTATTGATAAGAAGGTACTGGAGATGCTTCCAGGGTCAGCCAGCAAAGTGCTGGAAGCCATCTTACCCCTGGTGCAGAGCGATCCTCGAATTCAGCACAGGTGAGTTGCTCCGAAGGCCTCGGCTGTGTCAGAGCAGTGGAAGGCTTAGAGGTATCTTGGCTTTTGGGCACTTGAAACTGGAGATTTTTAGGAACAGTTAGGACAAGGCGTCCACCCTTCAACCCCTCCCTCCAAAACAACTATCCTTAATGCCATCGCAGGGTTGAGGTCACAGTTACTCCTGAAGCCTCAACCCTGAGGCAGATCTCTGCCATCCATAGGGATATAGCCACGGTGTAAGTTTGTGGCCATTTCTCTGCATTAGCTCATTAGTGATAATCTCATTGGTTTGAATGCATTTCTCCTAGTACCCTCAGCCACCTAACATACTCGGTCTTATTAGCATCTAGCTATTGTAGTCCTCAGCTGCTTTGGGTGATCAGGGCAAAAGAGGTAGACAAGAACCCCGTTAGAGCAGGGGTGCTGCAGTGCTTAACTGGTCAAGCTGGGACACCTTCCAAACAGTGCCTGGCTTCACTGGAAGCAGGGAGGGGGCTGTTTTGAATGAAGCTCTTTGAGTATCCAGTAGCCACCAGCGACCCAGGTGGAAGAGTACCAGCAGGTAACCCACCTGCATGAGTCTCCTGGGAGGCCTTACTGTCAGGGTTGGACTGTAGGCCTGGCTTCAATGACACAACCACAGTGTGGGAGTTCAAGAGTTTTTTAGTATTAAATACTTCAGATCCGAGGTAGTATGTAGCAGCCTAGAAGCCACACGTGGAGGTCAGGGAGCACAGGCAGGGAGGGAGAGAAGGGACCCCGTGGGCCTGAGCCTTTATTGGATCCAGGCTGTTATCCAAACAGGTTTCCTGCGGGGAGCTTTAATTGGTGGGTTTAAAACAGTCACTAGTTCCAGGAGGTCACACTGTTACTGAGAGGTCACTTTAAGTTCTCGGGCAAATGTCTCCATGGTCCGTTTAAAGGAAGCGGTGGGAAACCAGGGAGTCCAGCCGGCGCAGGACAAGAAATACCTCTAAGTTTTCATCTTTGGCCACTGGCTGGAGCCACTGGGGCGGGGTGTGGTTGTTGAAACCTATCAAGGGTTCTTGAGCCCTACGTGAGAGGAAGTTAAGCATATTTAAAAATGGATGCTGAGACAACAACATAAAATTATAAGCATTCACTGCGTGGGCATGGAGTGAGCCTTTGCCCCGGGAAGCTTTTGTTGGGTAATGCTTTTATTGTTAGGGTGCATTTTCCTCTCAAAGGTTAGCAAGAAGCTTGCCCCATATTTATTGTTAAATGTAAAAAGAAAAGCAGTATTAAATGTAATTTGAAATGAAAGCCTAGCAGGAGCTTTTTCTTAAGAGGCTGGCAGTTTTTGTTTTTCTTCTATGGTACCTGTTCGGGATAAACGCATCTCCGTTTTGATTCCTCAGGATGGCTTGCTGTTCATTTAGCCCCATGAGGCTAAGCTTTTATGAACTGCTTTCAGAACTTGGCAGTAAAGTTCATAGTTTTCTTCTTCTGGGAGATAAAGCAAATAGTGTCTTTATTTCCAAGAAACTCTCCACCCTGGGGCTTCCACGCTAGAGTTCCAGCTGACCCCTGCACGTCGTGGTCTTTGGCAAGGCGCTCTCTGGCGCTGGTGGGTGAGGAAGGAGGAAGCATCGGTGCGGCTGAGCCCTGCGCTGTCTTCCCTGCAGTCTCCAGTGCCCACTCTTAGAAGGCCTCAGTGCTGGTGCTGTTTTTCTTGATGTCCGCGAAATGGTTGAAAATACTCCTCCAATGTTCCTTTTATAGTCTTGTCCTTGTGTCTTTCCTAAGTGCAGCTTGTGAAGGTCTTTGCCTGCCCCTTCTGTGCCTGGGTCCTCACAGGCAGACCTTTGCCGCCCTCACCTCGGTGTCTAGGATGGGCAGGGACTGGCCTTGAGCAGACAGCTGGCTCTTCAGTTCGAGCCATGAAGGGAGGATTCTCCTGCGTGGGGGCAGCCAGGGGCCCGTGCGAGAGCGTGAGCCGTGCCGGCCATCACAAGGGAGCTTTGCGCTGCTGCAGAATAAGCTAGCAGCTGGGCCACTGGGCCGCATTTTTACAATGCTGAGCCCTCCTTCCTTCCTTACGTCTTGTCCCCCTGACACAGGAGTACTCTGCTTCCAAGCTAATAATGGGAAGGGTGAACATATTGTCAGATTCTTTAAGTGCCTTCAGGGAAACTTGCATCCAGTGCAGGGTAGAAATTAAGTATTAAATAAAAGTATTTCCCCCTGTTTTTCATCTCACTGTTGCTAGTAGTTTAACCGTGGGATGCTTTGGTGGAATCCCTCGTGGGCACATCGGTGGAAGGCAGCAATCTTCGTTGAAGAGGCCTCACCCACAGCGGCTCACACCTGTAATCCCAGTACTTTGGGAAGGAAGGCGGGACAATCGCTTTTCCCAGGAGTTTGAGGCTGCAGTGAGCTATGGTCGCCCCACTGCACTCCAGCCTGGGCGACAGAGTGAGGCCTCATCTCTTAGAAAACAAATAAGTAACAAAGAGGCCCCACCTGCCCTTGCCAGGGAGGGCGAGGTCTGTCCAGCTGCCAGAAGCACATTCTCCCGCAGGACGACGTCGCTGCGATCCAGCCCCAGGAGAGGCCACAGTTTTTGTTTCCCCCCTCAGTCCTCCTTCCTGAGAGAATAGATCCAACACTGAATGCTTTTCATTCGCGTTATCCCCAGAAACAGACCAATCCTGGCTTTCTCAGAGCTCCTTTTAAGCATTTTTTTGTTTCTAATGGGGCTCGAGCTGTTTGCTTTCGTTCCTGCTGACCCTTCTTTGCTCCTGTCGGAGCACGCGCAGAGTGGAACCACGGGCTACATGGAAGCTTTCCATCTCTCGGAAAAATCTTTTCCTCCTTACCTGATTCTGAGGAGTTTCTCATTAGAGCACTGCTTGGTTCAGGTTTTTGTTTTAAATGGCTTTGTTTTTAGAACCTCTTTTAATTATATTTTACAATATTATATATTTTCCTCAAAACTATTAACATACCTTTGGCTCCTAAAGGTCTGCCTCATTTTTGTTTTTTTTGGAGTGGAGGAGGGGCAGCTTGTACATTTTCTATATTTTTGTTCTTGCTCCGTTATAATGCATAATATTTAAAATGGAAAAATAATCCTTTTCAGAATTCCTAGGGAAAATTATCTTTAGTTATTTAGAAGTATGTGGAAGATGTAAAAATTTTTCGTTTCAGCTATTACTCTACAATCACTGAGGCACTCCCAGAGTGCTCTGGGCTTCTGTTTGTGTGTGTTGGCAACATAGTGTAGCTGGTAGCTGGTAGCTGGTACCTCACACGTGCACGCACGCACCCCTGCCACCATCACAAGTCTTCTCACCTCTGGTTTGTTGTCCTCAAAACAGTCTTCGTTAGTGCGTTGCTGCGACCTCAGCCCCGGTTACAGCGTGAGGATGGTGAGGCTGAGCCCATATTAGGAGGAATTCGAATAGACTACGGGCCTGTTCTGAGCTCGTGGCTGTTCCTTTAAAGGAACATGCTGTTAAAATTCCCGTTGGAATTTAAATTTTAAAACCTGTTGGCTCCCCGTGACACGTCTAAAATGAATTTTAGTCTAATTCATACAAGAAGTACGCGATGCTCTGAGCTAGTCTGGTGACCAGCAGCCTGGAGATGGGAAGATGCGGCTCCTTGAGAGAGATCACCAGAATTCACAGAGGGACGTGAAGTGGGAAAAAGCACATTAACTATCGTGATGGAATATTTATGTTATATTTGAGAAATGAAAACAATTTTATAACACAGATTAGAATATAAAGCTCCACAAAATTTTTTGTTGGATTTAAGGAGAAAGACTCAGGGAAGAAAAGGTTTGTTTATTAAAAGGAGGTGTAAGTTTTACAAAAAGAAAGACTCAGAAACATGCCCTCGTCACTGAGAAAGTGGTCAGTGGGTATCTTAACATGATGGTCATGCTTCAGAGTTTTTAACATTCTTTTAAAAAATCTCCTCCCTGTAGCTCAGCCCTCTCCTCCTGCTACAGCCGCGTGTACCAAAGTCTCGCCAACCTCATCCGCTGGTCTGACCAAGTGATGCTGGAAGGAGTGAACTCGGAAGATAAAGAGATGGTGACCACCGTGAAGGGCGTCATCAAGGCTGTGCTGGACGGAGTGAAGGTACCAGCTCGGGTTCCCGGCCTGCTGGGCGTGGACCACATGAGAAGTTGTTCCTAACCGTAACGCAGTGGAAGGAATGTCTTCCAGCGTCTCTAGTGTTGTGTACTCTATTTGGTAACTGCTTAGTTCGCTCAGGACTGGAGCGAGTGGCTCTCGTAAGCCTTTGGAGTGCCCGGCCGGACAGTTGGGAAGGCTGCCTGGAGCAGTCAGCCCTCACTGAGCGTTGTGTTAAATCTTCAGAGAGTCTGTATCGCGGCTCTGGCCGCGCATGCTTGCCAGCTAGACAGAGTGCTGCGGGGATCTTTCTGCACTGACTTAGCAAAAGTCCCAGCATGTCAACTACTACCTTTCATGTCCTAGGAACTTCTGGGATTCTTGGTAAAAAAGCAGGATTGAGATGAGTAAGAAGTGGAACTGTCTGTAATAGGAAGTTACCAATCGTAGTTAAGGTGGGAAGCAAAGGCCATGGAGGATCTGAAATTCGGGCGGGGGACAAACCCAAGTTGAGAAAACAAGTACTGGTGGTTGAGGAGCAAGACAGGATACAGGACACGAAGCAGGTGAGAGCCTTTGGCCAGCACCAGGGCTGTGACCAACAGGAAAGTGGAACCCTGCTGTTAAGAGAGGCCAGATACGATGGAAAGGGGGCTAGCTTGGGGGCTGGCTAGGTTTGAATCCTAAGTTCGCTACTTACCAGTCTATGAATCTGAGCAATTTAATCAGCTGTTCTACATCTTAGTTAACTCATCTATAAAATAGCTGTAATAATAGCACTGTGCCTCCCAGGGTTGTAGGAAGGGTTAAATGAGTCATATGACGAGTGCATATGATGCTCTTAGAATAAGGCCTTCGCTGCTGTGTATTACTAATTACGTAGTGCTAGATGCGTGCTTTGTCAATAGATCTTTTGGCTTGAAAAAACTGTGTCCCCTTTCATTCTAGACCCTTCAATCCAAAATTATAGCTGAGGTACCCTGGGTCAAAAAAAATTCCTTCTCCACTCAACCACGCTGACAATTCCTGAAAGCTGCCTCCTTGGCTTGACATTCCCCAGAAGCTCTGGAGAGTAGAATAAGGACCCCCAGAGGGTTTAAATTACAGAGAGAAGCTAAGAAAGCGTGGTTTGGCGTTACAAATTACTCCAGAATGGAATGTGTGTTAGCCAGAAAGTGTGGGTGGCTCACCGCCTCCAGCACCGTGTAAGTGGAGGCTGGCGTGTCTGCTGGGGACGTGAGTTCATTCAGGGGAGGCTCAACTAGGTGGCGTCAGTATTTTCCTCTGAGAGCCCCGATGTCTTTTTTTATTCCAAAAAATTGTTGGGTCCTACATTATCTGTTCAGGGCTGTGAGGCCTAACAGTGTAGCCCAGGGTGGCTGTTGTCATAAGACCTGATGTCGCTCCAGAATTTGAAGTACAGTCACATACATTATCCTCTTTGGTCCTCACGATAGCTCTTTGAGGTCAGCAGGGCAGAATGAGATGTGACCTGGGCCGCACTTCATCAGCAAACTCGTGTATTTCTGGCTCACCCACCCTTGCTATTCCTGTCAGGGCTTCTGGAAATATTGTTGTTGAAAACTTATTTTTCGGGTGACTTTATTAAGGTTTCCTTCTATCAAATTGATTCTGATGAGATGTTCAAAACAAGTTAGAACAGACAAAACAGAGGAGATGGAGTTTCCACGCATAAAGCTTTGTGACAGTCCCAAATAGATTTCCTTTGTGGAATCATTAAAGCACCACTGTATTGGTTGAAAGCCATGTCTGAAAGAAAAACATCTTTGATTTTTTCAAAGTGACTGGAATAAAAAAAAGAAAAGAAAAGAAACCTATAGATATGGACCTGTCAATGTCTGAGAACAAATAACTTTTCCATAATTGTTTTAAAAATATTTTAGCACAACAAAAATTGTCTAGGTGAAGAGCTTTATAAATTCAATTTTGTTTCATTTATTAAAGAACCATTTAACGAGAACCTTCTTAGTGCTGGGCAGTGTGATATAATTGGGACTATAATGATGAACGAGACTGGCACAGCTCTGACCTTATGGAGCTACAAAGAGGGGGCAGAAAGACCACGAACAAAAATGTACAGTTACGTAGTGTAGTGCTACCAAGGAAGAATGGCATGTGGTATCGTGAGTGTGTGCGGATGACAGTCCTTTTTCAGGGTGGTCAGAGATACTTTCCCAAGGAAGAGACAGGCCAGTGCCTGAAGAATGGGGAATTGACCTGTGACTGGGATCTTTTTGTGCTGGAGTCAGTAAAGGCAATGAAGATGATCAAGACACTGTGATGTTAGCGTTTGTTGCTAATGTCTAATTGTAATAATAGCTAACGTTTGCTGGGTGCTTTTTGTATGTTCCCCAGACCTAATACTCATAACAGTCCTCCAAGGTAGGCCCCCTTCACAGGTGCAGAAACTGAGGCTCAGACCAGTAGTCAGTAGCAAGGTTATGATTCACACCTGGCCTGCTGGACTCCTAGACCCTGTGCACTGTGTCACCCTCAAAAAAGGGTTCTCTGTGGTCCCACCTACAAGCCAGCTGGCTTCCAGCTTCTCAGTGTCCCCATCAGGCCAGGGACACCTTAGAAGCCTGTGTCCTGGTGGTGTGAGAGAGCCTCGCCCAGCTGGGAGGGGTCAGGACTGGGCAGAAGTGAAATACATTCAGAGGGCGTCTTCACCCCACTTGGAGGAGAAACGTCAGCGTGACATTTCTGACAAAACTGACTTTCCGTCTTTCAAGTAACTCAGTCATTAAAGGGAATCTTTTTTTTTTTTTTTTGAAGGCTTGAAAAAATGTTTTAAAACAGGTTACTTTGTTTTTGTCCCTGTATGGGTAGTATCATTTAGCATTTAAACCCCCATGTAAATGCCACTTGTTAGCTGTGTTACCTTGGGCAAGTCACTTCTCTGAGTTTCAAGTAGGTTTTAAAAATATTCACCCTGAAGATGAGAGGAAAGACTAAGGAGGATGATGTACACAGAGTACCTGGCAGTGCTCAGGGGGCCGGTCTGCAGTGGGAAAGTACTGTCAGCCATGGAACAGCTCACACTAACTGGTCCTCGGCAATGATTATGGCTCTTTTCGAGGTAATCTTGCAAATCTCAGGCCAAAAGACAGACTTCTGTTATCCGATCTGGCCCTGGGGCTGCTTTTCCAGCGGGAGCCTTGGCTCAGAGATGCTGGTGACTCTCAGAGGAAGGAAGTCTCTGAGGAATTTAGAGTCCTCACTTTTTTCCTCTAAGAACCATACCCAGCCCAGCACCTGGATGCTGAGGGACTCAGCCACTCAGGGGCAAAGAGATATCCCAGTTCGATCTGTTGAAACCAGCACCTCAACTGTTCCCAACTTTACCAGTTAAGTTTTGCCTTTTTCTCTTGTCTCAGCCATATAACTCCTTACTCATCTACTTGGACGCTCTGGTTTGCTCTCTTTGCAGATCTTCTAGGCATGTCAAAGCTCCCTTGTGGATCTCCCATCTCCAGCCTAGAAGAGTGTCTGTCCCTAACCTCCAGCCATACATACACAACAAAGTTTTTGTAATTAAAGAGAAAAAGAAAAAAAAAAAAGCCTTACACTGATAACCTTGGGAGGAAACTTTGTGGAATACCTACAGTTCTATCATTTAACCATCACCACCCAAAACTGGGCTTGTGTTTCAGACTCAAACTCTATAACAGTATTTTGACAAGAATGTTTTCCTGACTATAGCATTTATGATTAGGTTTGACTGCAAGAAAACCCAAAATAATAGTGGCATTTAAAAAACAGAACTTTTTGTCTTTCATGTATAGGAAGTTCAGAGATGCACAGTCTAGGGCTAGTATGACATTTTTGCAAAGTACTCTTGTTCCATCTTGCTTTCCTGTCATCCTTAGCACATGGATTCTACCTCACGGTTCAAAAAGGCTACGTAGTCTCCAGCCATCATGACAACATTCCAGCCAGCGAGGAAAATGAAAGGGTAGGAAGTTGTGCCTTCTACCTTTAAGGAGGTTCCTCAGAAGGCCTCACAAAACTTCTGCTTACAGTTTATTGGCTAGAAGTTAGTCACATGCCCTGTTAAAAATCTATCAGTAAGGAAGAACAGATATTGTTCTCTACCACACTGACATTTCAAATGAGCCATCTCTTTTATTCCTTTTCAGCCTATTTTTATTATGAAAAATTTCAAACATTTGTAAAAAAGGCAATAGTGAATAGAAAAAGAATAATGAGCATAAAAGAGAATAATGGAGCCCTGTCCCACAGCTTCTGCACCGTCTGCTCGCAGCCAGTCTTGTTTCCTCCGTGCCCCTGCCTGCTCCTGCGGGGCAAATCCCAGACACCGGATGCTTCCGTCTGTAAACACCTTGGGACGTGTCTTTAGAACAAGGCAAACCTTTTCTGTAACGGGTGAGATAGTAAATGTTTTAGCTTCTCAGGCTACATATAGTCTCTGTTACATATTCTTTGGTTTTTTATTTTTATTTTTTTATAAACCATTCTTACCTTGAGAGCCTTACAAAAACAAGCCCTGGGCTGGATATGGCCAACAGGGTATAATAGTTTGCTATTTTCAAACATCTTTTTTTTTTTTTTTTTTTTTGAGACAGAGTCTCACTCTGTTGCCCGGGCTAGAGTGAGTGCCGTGGTGTCATCCTAGCTCACAGCAACCTCATACTCCTGGGCTCAAGCGATCCTCCTGCCTCAGCCTCCCGAGTAGCTGGGACTACAGGCATGCGCCACCATGCCTGGCTAATTTTTTCTATATACTTTTAGCTGTCCAATTAATTTCTTTCTATTTTTAGTAGAGACAGGGTCTCGCTCTTGCTCAGGCTGGTCTCAAACTCCTGAGCTCAAACGATCCGCCCACCTCGGCCTCCTGAGCCACCGCGCCCGGCCTCAAACAGTTTTTTAATTCAGTGTCCAGTATTCCCAAGGTTCATCCAATGTTGTAGCATGTATCAGTACTTAATCTTTTCTACTGCCAAATAATATTCTAGTGCACAGAT